TCCTGATGAAAAAGTTAGATGAATGTGACATGAGCGTTCACACTGCAGTCACTTTGAAAACATCAGATATATATCTAATTTAAAACCACATACTGAAACGGCCTGGGTCGGATTAGAAAAAATCAGATTTGTCTCGTTCAGACTGTCGTAAAAAAATCTGATATGGGTTGGATTTGCCTGCAGTGTGAACGTAGCCTAGGACAACTTCTCTCCATTGTCCTGAGATGCAACCTTTACTTCCTGTTTTCTACACATGCGTCTGACGTAATTGATACGCTTCAAGCCTGTTGATGGAAACACATCTGATTCTCATCAGACTGAAGAAGTCTCTTGGAGGAGAGACGAAACGTTTCACTAAAGAAGATCCGTCCASAGGACCTACTMATTTTTTCTTTTTGATTTTTTCTACCTGGATTACTGAGATGCATCAGGACACGTCTGATTCYCATTTCTTAATTTTCTCATTTTTACGAAATTTTAAAAACTCGCTCAAAATTCTAATTAAAATTGGATGGAAACACCACTACAGATTACAAAAAAAAACTTTCCATTCAGGTAGTAAGAGAGTTACAGCAGAAATCCCAAACATGTGTGTGATCAAAGAAAACGACCAACTTTATCAAAGATAGCAGACAAAACCTAAAGAACTAACATGGATCTACATAACATATCTATGATTAGTAGCTGTACAGAGTGCTCAGGTACTGTTGATGAGCACATTTCAGACCCAAAAGGAGTCTGTCCAAATGTCTTTAACTTGATGTAAATTGTGTCATTGGTTGTTGCTTCTCTTCGTGAAAGTATTTAATGCCTTTAAAATCTCAGAGATGTGAACCAGCCCTTTGCCTTCTGCAGCTTCTCACACAGTACAGCACATCTCTGCTACAAAGAGAAACTGATGTAATGATATGAGAAAAGAGGAAAAATCCAGAATGAGCTCATGTGTAGGCGAGCGGGAGGAAGTGGGCGATAGAGCTGGAGGACAAAAATCCCACTGTTAACGATTTAATTTAGCAGTCATATACTGCAGCTGAGTGTGATTAAAGGGGATGGTCTTTCAGTAATGTGTTGTTCTGTAACAGACCAGAGTCTCTGGGGAGACAGACATCAGAGAGAAACCAACAAGAGCCTTCCAATGTAAAGAAAAGGGTGGTCTCATACAGTGAATATGCTAACCTTTGGTTGGTTCTGTTTCTGTTCAGTGAGATGTTTTACATTTTTTATATCACCAAAAGGGTAAGGCTGAGAAATAATGCTTTTGACTGTATGTGTATTTGTCTGTCTGTTCCAAAATATCATATGAAACAATCGGCAACTTTAACAAAACTATCAAGAAGTATTTATTAGATATAAAATTGGTTAACTATTGAACTCAAAACAATTTAGGATGGCTGCRGGAGCAAGCTAACCTGTCCAGTGCAAGAATGATTATAACTAAGTCAACTCAAAAATGACAGAACATTTAGAGTTTTAGTAGTTGAGACTGATCCCATCACACAATTCCGTGTTTACAGATTTCAATTTTAACATTGCTTTGTAAGAAAATTAAGTGTTCATTAACTGAAATCGAGATTAAGACCACATAAATGTTGAATAAATTAAAGTGTGAAGAGATTAGACCATACAACACCAGATCTGGTTACGAGCGAGCTGTTTATTCCTCCCGGCTGGCGCCTGCAACAGCAACACTGACCACTAACCGGACTTTCCGGTCTTTTATGCATACATGGTTCTTCAGTGCCTGGTGCGCCCACTACAGGCCTACGGCTGCATCGCAGGCCACTCGAACAAACATTCTCACCTTATGTTTTAAAAATGGTTTCTTATGTGTTGTGATAATTTTTCGGGCATGTATCTAAGCTATTTTAATCAACATGTAAAAATAGTTAAACAGTGGATCATAAAAGTCAATACTTAAAAAGGAAAACTAAGAAAATGCTTTAGTGCTTTTAAAATCAGGATATAACATGTAGGAGTGTAAGAAAATATCGATACACTGAAATATCACAATATTTCATTTGCCAATACTGTATCGATATTCTAAAGCCCTGCATCAATTTTTATCAAGGTTTAAAATGTCAACTTACCTGCCAGCCGTTCATTTTTATGTTGTAGTTCAGCCTCTGATCACTAGTTGGCAGCAGTGAGCCAGACATTTGGCTCCTCTACCTCTTGAGAGCCAGAGAGTAAGGGTAGCATTAGCATGGTGAGTAAACATTAGCTTCATGCTCTGATAGCTGAATCTGAGCGGAAAAGACCGACACCATCTGCCTTCTAAGCTGAGGTAAGGTTACAAACAGTTACTTATTTGTCAGAATGTCTGTATTTTAAGACAAATTAAGTGTCTTGTGCGCTCTTTTTTCCAATGTTACAGAAGGTAGGCATGCATATATAGTGCATGTGTCTCTAGCACCTCGAGCTCGGCACTCCCCCCGTGACATAAAACTGTCTGTTGCTCTCAGTGTCCGGCTGATGATCGCATCAAAGTCTATATACTTTAAGTTTATCCTGCTGTGTTCGCTTCAAAAACTTTTTAACTGTGTTGTTTAGCTACTTCCATTTATTTACTGTTTATTTTCAGCACCGGCCCTGCTGTTCGACCCACAGTTATACAAATCATGATCTGGATGCAGGTCAGATGATCCCAGAAACTCTGTGCAGCAGCTTCATATCATCTGTTTACTGAACTTTATGACAACATTTTTAATTGTTTGATGACCATAATGTAAATTAATATTAAATACTAAAAGCTGCAAAAAATATATTTTCAAACTATTTATTGGCAAATTTAGTCTTATAATTGAAAACATGGATGAAATAAGAAATAAGAAACAAATAAAACACATACAAAGCAGAACACAGCTAAATGTATGAAAAGTATGTCTATGTAATATTAGAATTTTCT